AACTGTTAAAGTACAATTTGAGAAAATCGCAAATAATCGCTATAGGCGGCACATGTGATTTGAATGTAAAATTGAGAGATTGCTTTCAGATAGAATTCAATAAAGAGAATATTCATGAAGGGATGCAAATGTATGAAATTGCTGGAGAAAATGCACTGACAAATTGGTAAAAAGCGAATCAATTTATGCAAGAGCCGATGTTACGTTCTAATCAAAGATAGCACTGTGATGAATGGTCGGATTTTTCCCTACATCTGGCCACCGAAGGAAGTTTCTTGTAACTTTGCCTTTCAGTGAAAAAGACGAAATAATCAGAAGGCAATGACTTATTACGAACGGAGCGAAGGAGCGCTCAGACGGCTGGCACGTATCGATCGAGCCCTTGGGATGGTGAAGCTCTTTAACGAACCTGCTCATTTTCAATAATATTCAAATTACTTAAGTTTATTGATAGTCATTGTAGGGGAAGAAATGAGGGAAATTGAATGTTATGAGGGTATAAGTGTCGTTTCTATAAAAGCATTGCAAAAGTGGGCTTCATAAGTTGAAGCATGATGACGAAAGAGATGCTGAATGAATCACTTTAACGCTTGAAATGAACCTCGTTGGAAGAATAATGCTGCATGAAGGTGAGAAAAGGTATCTCTAGCCGAACAATTTGTCAATGGTTCGTCCTTACCAGATAGGAAGGGCATGGTAGCTCATCAAAAATTAATGACTGCTGACAATAGTCCGGCCGTAAACATAGCGATAACTTTTAGTTGCACATGTTGAAAGACAGGAACATGAAGAGTTGAAAGTATTATAATCAATTTTTATACATCATTCAATTTGATATCAAATAGTACGTAGAAGAGGATGATGAGTTGCGAGAGATTATTGACGTGAAATGAAATGAATAAAAACACAGCAAAAACAGATAAAGAAAAAGAAAGCAGAAAATATTTCCACCTAAAGTTCAAAGAACAGAGGTGAAAAGTCCACCTGACACAGGCCAGGAATTCGAGCTGGACCAGATCGATACAGTTTACATATCAACGAGCGTAGCGCCACCGGTTCCCGTTCCCCATCCTTGGAGATGCCTACGGACCGATATGTGACCATATGTAAAAGTGTTGCAGACTTTTACCTTGCGGAAAAACTTCCAGCCTTAATAAATCTGTGGAACTCTAGGAAAAAGAAGAAACCTGACAGATCACTCCTGTCTGTACAACAAAACTTTTGTTTTTGCTATCGGTTAATCTCATTTTTGTCTTAAGGTGCTGCAGAGGTAGCGCGTTCATCAACAGTTATTGGTAAGGAATTTGACAACGATGAAAAAGTGTTCACTCATTGGACTTTTCAGTTTCGGTGCTTCGACTGTCAGATTGAAACATCATAAAATAACAGCCGATTATGGCGGTAGGTCTGGATGTCAATATCTACAGAAATAAATAATACGAGCCTTCAAAAACCAAAAAATATGTATTTTGCGGTTTTTAATCCTACTTCCAAAAGTGAATCAATCAAAGTAATATATGTATGTTGCAAACCACAAAACTGCGCTTTTATTTACAGATAAAACAGTTCGTGAACCATGGGGGCAGCTAAGTGCATAGATATGTAATAGTTGATCAGATTGTTGTAGTAAAGGTTTTATGCTGTCCTTTAACAACAATATTCAAAATTTCTGATTGATTAGATTGCTCCAAAGCATACGGAATAATTCATCTATGATAGCAATCTTTATCCTTTACAAAATTTGCTTTCATGAAAGATGTTCTCCGGAATAAAATCAAATATTCTTGCAGCACGCCAGTGGATCTGTTCGAATGTTGGGCGATGATGAGCGTGATTTGCCAAAAAGCGAATGGTTTCACATCGTTCTTGCCGCTTTAGTAGTTACCATTTGTTTTAATATAACCGTGCTGTCCTACAGGTTCTATACCATTCTTTAATCGAAGTTTAACACAATTCCTTTTAAAATATCACTTCTAGATATTTCGCAATTATTCGACGAGAGAAACTCGACAGAATGAATAAGAGCAAAGAGTTGGTTACGGTTAGCGTCAGATTTCAAGCATATAAATGAATGGTAGCAACCAAAAAAAAACAAATTTAAAATGAAACTACTCAAACTAGTAGCAGAATAGGTGAAGAATCGAATTTGTACAATGCTTAAACGCTTATAAGAAAATTAAAAATATTTACAAATTCTAAGTAAGACGCCTTTGTAGGAGACATGGTATCTTGAGAAAGAGGTAATCAAGAAAGAAGCGGAGAATCGTCGCAGAAAGAGGGAAGCCGAGAAGAAAAACCTTGCTTGAGCATGACAATAAGAATATTTGGCGGGGCTTGTATTGTGATCGTTGGCGTTTTCAATAAAATTATTCATTTTTACGAATATAATCCGAGGCAAGCAAACGGCATTGGTAGACATTGACTTTCCTTAGTGCCGCACGACCGAGCCTCTGACTTCATCAAAGAGATTTGATACCACAGTTTAATTGCCTAGGAGCTTTCGCAACACCTGAGCGAACCTCCACTACCCGTTCCAAACTTTTCCCTAGCAGCAAACTGGTTTATATTTTGTATTGTAATTACATTGTTTAGTAGTTACTTCACTACCAACTAACATCAATAAGTAGGAAAATGTGATGATCGAGGGATCACCGCCACTCTTAATGACCTGCAGTGAATATCTCCTACTTGCAATAGATAGATTAGTTCAGCTAGTGTATGCTCTTCTCCTGAAAATTTAGGCTTCATTCCATAACATTTTTCAATTTTCGCCATGTACTTAATCCTAAAAAAACATTCATATTATCTTCTTAAAACAACTCTTAGGAGGGTCACTAGAACAGGCAAATTAGGA